GAGACCCATGTCGAGCGAACAGCAAAAACCTCGTTTTCTTTAGCCATTACTGTTCACTTCTTTCATTTTCCTTTTTTGTTTAACTTATTTCTTCTGTTGATTCTTTCGTGCTACTGATATAATATTATTTTTTTGTGTCTTTAGTTCACTGTATTATTGATCCTATTATCGTTCTCAAATTTTCTTTTTTTGGACCTATTGAAACTATTAACGTTTTTTTCTTCGTAATTCACAAATGAATAATATTATATCTCCCTTCTATTTTTATGCCCCCTGAATGATTATAAATTAACATTATCACTTCTAACTCCTTCTTTTTCCTATCTTTTACTCCCCGACATATTATAAATTACCATAACCATTTTCTTTTCTTTCCTTACTTAAAAAAAAATATTTTCTCCCCTCCATGTCTCTCGATTTAACGGGCCGCCGGCAAACGGGAAGCAAGACCACGGTTTTATAGTCAGAGATGCATTATCTTTACAACCTTATTATCGTAATCTGAAACATTTTTGCTTTCGTCTCAACTCTGCTAAAAATGTCTGCGGGGCTTAGACAGGGGAAAGGCAAAGTAAAGTTTAACGAGAGACAAACGGAGTGATAATAGCAAAATATCATGACTTTCTTATTATTATTCTAATGCTTATATTCATTATCTACATCATGTACCAACCGTGAAATTAGGGCGAGAAAGTAATTATCCTTATATTCATATCTGAGGTTAATTTTCCAACACATCAAAATAATGTTATATTACACTAGTATCAAAATAGCTTACAAAATTCAACAGTTCATCAAAAATACATACCAACATATCTTAAATCTCTCCGAGCGAAGATTTTGAATAATATCTCGCTACTTACATACAAAACGTTTTTTTTTTTCTCTCACAAATAAATCAATGGCACTTGAAAAGGTTTGATAAGTTCTGACATGAGTCTCGCTCCTCTCTAAACCACTTGAATGTGTCTCCTCTCATTACAGGGAAAAAAAGTATATATACATACGAACTGTACCTAGCTGTGAATGATAATGCTATAAACTAAACGTTACCTATACACACACAAAGGAAATAAAATAAAATAAAATAAAATAAAATGATACAGAAGAGGGTTTTCACCTTTCTTCATATATATATATATATATATATATATATATATATATATATATATATATATATATATATATATATATATTTATATACATATGTATATAGTTATATATACATATATATATATATATATATATATATATATATATATATATATATATATATATATATATATATATTTCAACTGGGAAATAATTCTGACATAAGAGATTATAGTACCCCTATCTTTATACTTCAATGGGAACATATCTATTGAAGGGAATAACCGGCCATGCCAATTAACATATATTTGTATATCTAAATATCTAGAACAAAGTATGCCTTCCTGCGTCACTAGAAAAAATATAAATAGACACATAAAACATAGTAAATGTGGTGCTCAGTCATATCTCAATCTAATATAAATGACAAGGTGATGACACTTTTAAAGTCGAGCATGTCTAATTTTTGCTATCACAATAGAACACGACATAGCTTGAAAAGTGACAAGCAGAAGGCATTACCAGGAAAATTATAACCACTATGCTTATGAATGGACATATATTCATGTATTTGTGCACAGAAAATAAAAATAGTAATAATCTAACTCAAAATATTTCATTATCATAATACATTTTTTTTTTCATTGGATTTGCAAACATCCTTGCAATGCAAAACTTATATGAAAGAATTACCAACTGATTGCTGCTTTTCGAGGTAAATAAATGGTGACTGATTCATAATTATACATTAGTAATGTTATTTTTTAAAATCATTAATCGCTGAAATTTTATAGAATGAATATAGTTTAGTTGAATTCTTATGAGAATTAACCATATATTCTGATAACAGGTTTATGTTCCCAAATTTTCAACTAGAAAAGGAGTATACATTACCTATATTTATCATGAAATATATTTACGTCATATTGTGAATTAAAAAAGATTTTGTACCGAGGCAGTTATCGAACTTGTAAAACAAAACACTAAACAGAGATATTTTTTACAACTCCTGGCATGCTGTAACACTAACAAAGGTCACAATAACTCCATGCAAATTTCAGTTAACAAAAAAACGTAAAAAAGACAACACGTGCTTGCTTGATTCCAGGGGAAACCGTCATCAGTTCCCTGGCTAAAAGAACACCATACAGGAACACAAAAAAAAACACCAAAGAGAAACATATAATATTAGAACACCATAGTCTCTCGAACATGCTCAGACTGGTGTCCTGATATCATATTTGTAAATTCAAATGGCTCCAGTTGTTCTTGATAGCATTAAGCATTTTTACCCCCAGTTGGCCAAATTGGTCTTGACACTGGAAAACGAAAATCTGATTTATTTTATTAGTTATTACATATTGTCTGGGGAAAATGCATAAGATATTTCTATCCTCATGATAACTAATACCGGGATGCCAGTACGTTGAGATACAACAACTACGAAAACCGGGAAAGTGTGGGGAAAATCCCTAAAAATGCAAATATTTCTGGTTTCACAATAAAAAAGTAAAGTGGTCTTCGTATGCCAATGTATGAATGCTTGGTGATTAAGCAGCCAACAGGACATTGTTTTCAGACTTGCAAACGGAATCCACAACAGTACAACACAAATAAGCAGATATGTTCACCCAAGCATCACCATCAAGGCACCGAATTCCAGTTTTGCATTCAGACTCTTACAATGAAAAAAATACATGCACTTACAGCAAAAATACTGGGGGTTGGGGTAAAGGGGAGGGGAAGGAGGGAAAGAATTAGTATGTAAAGGAGGAAATTACCAAAGAACATATCAAATAAAAAAAGAGACAAATTGTCGGCAAGTCCTTGTGTTCCTAAGCCGATTCTCTGTCTCACTGTGATCAACTAGGCAAGGTTTGTTGAGCTTCTCGGCCAGATGGCGTGAGTGAGGGCGAGAGAGAGAACGAGAATGGGGTTAAGATACGGGTCGAACCACAAGGGGCAGTATAAGCCTCAGAGTCGTCGTGCGGTCTTTAGGATTTAGGTGATCACCAGCAGGATGGAGCGGAACCACGGCCAGGTGGTGCCGCGATTTACCAGAAGGGCAGGTGGGGTAAACAGCCATTGTGCTGGTGCGATCGCCACTCGTCGGTAGGTGAAGCCAGCACCGGTTACCGTTTGTAATCACACGCACACCTCAAGTGCCATCAGAAACTTGTTCAGGTGCGAACACAATCAAAATGAAGGCGCCATTGCCCCCAAACAGGTAATTACGCCAAACAAAGTGCTTGTGTCATTAACAAGTAACAAAATGATCTGATACAGCGAGGTGATTAGTGTGACCACGACTAGGGTAGGTGTGACGCCATCCAAATACCAGTGAGATCAACAGCGGGAATGATTGACCACAGCCATGTGGGTGGCGTGATCGCTAGCAGTAAGAGTGGGGTAGAGATTAAGATACATGAGATGAGTACAGGCGAGAGAGAGAGAGAGAGAGAGAGAGAGAGAGAGAGAGAGAGAGAGAGAGAGAGAGAGAGAGAGAGAGAGAGAGAGAGAGAGAGAGAGAGAGAGAGAGAGCGCGAATGGGCGAGACATGAGCATGTGGCCGGAGCCGTAGCAGGCTCGTGCATGGCAGGTTTTGTGATCATTAGACCGGGCACTCGCACACAGAATACAATTGGTAGAATAACAAGTGTCCTTAGGCTGTGTTTGGTTTGATCTCATTTTTGTCTTCTTGTTTAGATTGAGATTTACATTAGTTCGTATTATTATTCAAGGGGGTTATTAATTACTGTGAACAAATGTTATTGCTATGAGCAACTGTAATCAGCGTCCATGGACATAGGAATTTAATTACACAACATTAGAAATGATTCCGCGATCGCTTGATATAGTTATAGATTATCCGGTTTTTTTTTACTGATTGTTTATATTGTTAACAAAGACAATTATCAAGCCATTCACTACTGGATAGCACTTGCAAAGCTTTGGCGTCAAGGAAAGATGTAAATTTTATCGAATATTATGATAAAACTGCTGTGCACACTTTCTAAGGATTTTATTAATATTTAAGTAATCTTTATCTCATAAGCTAATAGCATTTGTCAAACCAATTTCTTTCCACACATAATCATGTGTCGCACTGGGATTAGGAAACAAAAGAGCTGGCATATCCGCATTTACTGCAGACGAAGCTTAGACAATAATAATAGTAATAATAATAATAATAACGATTTTTAAAAATGAAGAGATACATAAGACAGACCTACAAACACAAGAATTCAACCAGTTGCTTTGTGGTGTGGTCCCTTGGGATTCATTTACCAAATAAAAATAGGTCCTAAGTGCAGCTATGATCCAGGCAAGTCAGAATAAATGGCGTCGTCAGTGCAGTGGCCTGGACTGTTGGTCGCAGATCAGGCAATTGGTAAATCTTTGAGGCGAGTGGAGATGTCTCAGTATTCTTTTTTTTACTTCTCTCTCTTTTTTTAGTAGTAATAATTACATATCCCATTTTTATCTGGAAAATTTACCTCTAAATCTCTTTCTGCTGTTGGAGTAGAAGTGTGAGGCTGTGGAGAGGGTAAAAAATAAGGTTGTTATTAAGGCTCAAAAAACAACACCACCACAGGAATGAAATCTTACTATACATACATCAACACTTAGCGTAGGGTTCGGGGTCTGGATTCAGGTTAGGAGAGGCACGGGAGACACATGTAAACACGGAAGGAGGGAAGAGGGATGGAATGTAAAGGAAAAGGTTGGGAATAGGGGAGACAAAATAATGATAATAACGATAATAAAAGAGAGAGGTAGAGAGAGGGGGGGTACGGGAGGGAAGAGGCAAGAAATAACGCCAGAAACGTTAACCAAAGAGAAGAAAAGCCCGGAGATATGGCACTAAATAATAATCAAGTAATCTAAATAAATATACAGAAATGAAT